TTTATTCATAACGCAAGAACAGGGTGTAGAAAAGATTGAGAAAGTCAAGTCCATAGTATCGCGATATCCAGGTTTTGAGCTCGTGGTGTTGCACATAGAAGATGCCTTCGATCCTTGCTCGAGGGAAAGGCTCGGTATGTCGACTACGAGTCCCTCAAATATTCGGATAGACTTATCCTCTCCTGGTACGTGCTTCTGAGCAGTGTTTGATTGATACTAAGCACATACCTTTCCCTAGAATTGTCCATCATCCCTACCCCACCTAACGGTGACAACTCGCGTGACTCTGCGGTTGAAGCCTTGAGGCATCATCTAGCATCTCTTCCTTCCTTGACCGCAGTATATCAAACGATATCAACTTATACCCGACTACTTCTCCAATATTTTGCGTTTTCGACACAGTCATCCCACGTACTGCTGGGTTCTTCACTTACATCCCTAGCAATATCTTTAATATCTGGCGTGAGCCAGGGCGGGGGATTTAACGTCAAAGAAGAAAGAGAAGAGAAATGGAGAGGATCTGTCAAAATTGTGCGCCCACTGAGGGATGTAGGATGGAAAGAATGTGCATTATGGGCGTGGTGGAGGGAACTAGATGTAGCTAGCTCGCCGACAGGTTGGACTGGGAAGGTCAAAAGGGAGTCGATGACAATTCCCCAATTAACCAAGGGTGAGTATATGTGTTCTAAATTGTCTAATATTCTCCTCATCATCATGCGAACTAGATTTTATTGTGGGGTTGGAAAGGGACTATCCCTCAACGGTATCGACCATAACGAGAACATGCGAAAAACTTCAACCCAAGGGTGAATCCAACGGCATATGTGTTCTTTGTCTTCGGTAAGTATAAGGACAAAGTTTCTGTCGCAGTCCGACTTCAGTAGCTGACATCGAGTTTACTCAGGCCGGCACAAGCAAACGCTCAAGCTTGGAAAGAACACATTTCTATTCGTCAGACGAAGAATCCTGAGAATAGCGTACCACCTGAACAATCAACAGCTTTCTCGTATAAAGACATGGTACCTCTGACAGATCATTTATGTTACGCATGTCATACCACTTTAACGAGTCGAGGAAACAAGGCTCGTGGTAGCAGTACCACTGATCCCAGCTCGAAGACAACTCTTATGCCTATCTGGGCGGGAGAGGCACTTCTCAAGGTGCCCGTCGCTTCTAGGACCGAGAGTTCACAAGTATCGAATGGGCTGGATGAGGAGATAACGACGAGTCGGAAATTGGCAAGGGAGGAAATGAAGGGGATGATCAACGAGTTTCTGCTAGATGAATAACTTATGAGCAAGTTCGCAGGTAGTAGAGTACAAGCAAGGGCTTGGATGACTGCTATTTTATTTGAATATCAGATTGGATAGATCAAAAGCGACAGAGGAATCTAGTGGTGATGACCCCCAAACAAACGCCCAAGTCCTACCGGTATCCACATACCCAATACGACTAATACCGTTCTAACTTTCGGTGACAATTCTGCGGAGGATGGTTCAAGATGTGCCCCGTCACTGTGTCCTCCAGATTGTAGGGGTGATAGAAGTGTAGCAACGTAAAGGAACGTCCCGCCCTGCACAATTATAGTCAGAATCGAAGATTATGAATTCTGATAAGTGCTTGAAGGCTTACAGAGAACATCAAAACCACACCAGTCCAGTCTCCCAGCATCTGAGAGGGACCAAGGAATCGCAAGCAGAGATACGTAAAAAGTGCGGCTAAAGGGGATGCCAGAGAGAACGCGATGAGGTGTTGTCGGGCTTGACGAGTGGTGAGCTGAGGCAAAAGAGTTGAGGTCAACGCAAGTGCTGTTGGGGCTAAAAGCAGAGTTTTGTGTAAGAATCAAATGGAGCAAGTTATGCAGGATTTACCTTTGTGCATCGCGATCGCGAGGAAAACTATTATGGAAACCCCTGTTGCATCTGACACCCACGAAGCACCTGCGTCTTGTGTAGTGGAATCTCCGGTGGCAAGTCCAGTTGTGGCGGTATCAGCAACTGCATTCGCTGCTCCCAGAGCCAACCCATCTGCTAAAGAGTGAATAACCAACCCAAGCGTCAACATATTCGGATTCTTCACGGGGGTTTCATCTCCTACACCCATAGCGTTTAATTCCATCTCCAATTCCAGGTCTGGATCCACATCTGTATCATGATGGGAGCCAGAGGTTGGAGGATCACGGGAGGTTGGAGACAAGGGTAAAACCGATCGACCTGGAGTGGGATGTGAATTGGCAAGGGTGTATTTTGAGGCTCGAGGAGAGGATAGAAGATGACTAAGCAATTGTTCCAACAGGAGCATGAGAGTGAAGCCTCCCAATAGCGAGGTTGCTATTAGTACGTGCGGAGATGCTTTGCTTCCTGCCTTGTCGGATTTAGAGCTTTCATATATAGTCTCAACGCCTCTGATTATGGGTGCATAAATAAACATCAGGTCGTAGAAGAAATTGAGCTTACTCGGGTATAATCACCCCCATGGCAGCGCCTAACAGTATACCCGTTCCTACAGTAGATATTTGAGCAAGCCTTTTACCTAGAAACCAGTGCTCAGTATCGAGTTCGCAATAATATGGGAAGAGATACCCACGGGACATGGCCACGGAAAGTGGTATCATCCCAGCCAAAAACGATGACACCCCAAGGACAGAGACCAGTATGACAAGCGTAGTGAACGCCATTCCAGAATGTGGACTGATGGTAGGGTTGCAGGTCGGGCGTAGGTGTTTTTTATTGATGGTGAGTGTAACCAATGTTTTTGTCTTCCAACCTACTGCTCCGACTGGAGGAGTCCTGGTCCAAAAATCTGGTTGACACTGGCCCCTGGTAGTTGCGGCAAACGTGGAATCCGAATAGCGAACGTAGATGGCAGGTCGCAGGGTCCAAGGCACTGCTCAGTTACACGGTTCATTTCGACTAAACGAACTTGGACTTGCTCTTCGATTCCACCTCACCACATATTGATGTCAAGTCTGTCTCTGTCTCCCCCTGATATGAATGCACAAGCTATCATTGCGAACCACTTTTTAGTTCAAGCCAAGTTGAATATTGGGGTTATTGCATGTGAGCAAAGCAGGAACTCCTTTGGATATCCGTTTGGGACTTGGGATTTCGGGATTCGCCTCCACCTCCACCGTCATGGTTAGCCTAGTCGTGGTTAGTCACTGCAATGTCATTATGATTCGTTCTGCATCTCCTTGCTCAAGCCGTCGATCCACGGCCAGAACAGAATGGCCCCTTCATCGGCTCGGGCAGCCCGGAGACCTCAACACAATGCTTAAACTCCTGTATGAATTAGTGGAGGCTCGGAAAGGTGGAAGATATGTGCTCTACTTGACGGAACTCTTGAACACAGGTTGACCGTGCTCCCGGGAGTGCACGTGCCCCAGAAAGCTCAACGCTGATTGGCCATCGGATCCAACTTAGCCGTCGAAAAACATAGCCTCTGTCATCAAAATCCATCCACTCCGCACTCACCGGGGACTGGTTTGCGTAAATCGGATTCGTCATGCTCATGGACTGGTTCAGGCCAGTATAAAAGGGGGTCCTTGAACTTCTTCATATGCATCATTCCAAGTCATCTAAACTACCCAATTATTCTATACTCTTCTGATCAGCTATGAAATTCACATCGGCCTTCGTCGCATTCACAGTCGCGTCTGGCGTTTTTGCAGCTCCCGTGAAGAGGGCTCCTACAGGTCTGTAACGATTTGCTTCTTACTCGCAAGGATGATCCATCTAACAATTTTGTCTTGCAGATGATGAAATTCTTAACTATGCTCTCACTCTCGAGCATCTTGAGGATTCATTCTACAAGGAGGGGCTTGCCAAGTTTGACGACCATGCCTTTGAAGCTGCCGGCTTCCCGCCCATAGTCCGCAAGCGGTTTTTAGAAGTTGCCGAACATGAGGCCACTCATGTCACTTTCCTTGAGCAAGCTCTAGGTGATAAGGCTGTCAAACCATGCGAGTACTCATTCCCGTACAACGATGTTTCTTCCTTTGCTGCTCTCGCCATGGCCTTGGAAGGTGTGGGCACAAGTGCTTACCTCGGGGCTGCTCAGTTCATTACCAACAAGGTTAGTAATTGCCATTTAGACCAAGAATACGAGTTTAGATCGTCTTTTTTATAGGACTTCTTGACCGCTGCGGCTTCGGTCTTGGCTACAGAGGCCCGACATGCTAGCTGGATTTCTTCTGCAATACAAAAGTCACCTTTCAATGGCCCATTCGAAACCCCTCTCAGTTTGAATGAGGTCTTCTCCCTTGCTGGTGAGTAGAGTAGAGTCCCGTGTCCAGAACTACATACTTATCATTGCAATGCGCATCAGCTGCCTTCATTAAAAGCTGTCCCTCTACCAACCCGCCTCTCCCCGTCAAAGCCTTCCCTGCCCTTACTGTGAAGACCACGTCACCTACTCCAGGCAGCGAAATTGAGGTCTCTTTCGATTCTTCTTATAGCAACGCCCAGAAATTCTTCCTCTCGTTCTACAGTGGTTAGTAGTTTGCACTCCTATATTGGATCCGTGTGCTGAGATGTCCTTCTCTGCCCTACAGGCCTCACCAAGACGACAGTAGAGTTGAACAGCGAACACAAGGCTGTGATCCCTCAAGGCCTTACCGGTACCGTCTACGTTGTCGCTACTTCGTCTGAAGATGTGACGGACGAAACCACTGTCGCTGGGCCATCCATTCTTTACTTTTCCTACTAATGGACAAAGTAGTGATCTTGACACTCTTTCATCATGATTATGACCGCCTTTTCCCGGACTAGTAGTATTCTTACCTAGACACTTTGTTCTTCTCGAACTCGTAACGTGTCTTAGCCCCGTATCTGTTGTAACAAAGAATAGTATCACATGGCTTTATGTGAAGATGAAATTTGAGGATTGATCTGCTGAGGAGGTGGTATCGTACGTGATTCGCTAAGTGCAAGTCATCAGCATAACTAGTTACCTAAAGATGATGTCTGCCAGAAACCCAAATAGGATCTCGAAGCAAAAAACGACTGCAGACAGGGTCGAACTGTCGACCGCTGGTTCAACTTTTAATCGAAGACCAGTATGCTAGCCACTACACCATGCAGCCCGTTAGAAAGGCAGTGTTAAATAGCGAACATGTTATGATTGATTAATCTCCGAAGTTCCGCCCTCCGACTACAAGACAACATACTTTGACTATCCAACAATAAAAACTGGAAGAAGGGACCGAGAGTCCGTAATACTAAATCCGTGATACCTAAATCTACAATTAAATAGCTTAGAGCTTAGCCTTTGGAGTGATGTCCGATTCTCCGGCTGCCTCAGCTTTGGCTGCCCTAGCCATCATTTTGATAGTGTCGGTGGCA